TTCAATTTCAGGATACACAACCTAAAATTTGGATCAGTGTAACCGGAACCAGACATTTTCGAAAATTTCGTAGTGTAAGACTTGAAAGGCTTTCACCTCACTCCCCTCAGCTACAGCCAATTAGGTTACAATCAGGTAAATACGTATAAAAAATTTGTAAGTAATCAGGTTACAATCAGGAACATACGCACCGAAAAATTTTAATCAGGTACATATCGATCGATATGTATAAAATTTTATAAAATTTTATAATTAATTAGGTACATATGTACAAAAATTTATAAGTATCAGGTACAAATTTATGAGTAAAATTCATAACGATAAACGATTCATAAGCAATTCATTATCGGGCTTACAACCTCTGATCAAAAAATCAAATTTATTCTCAACAATCGGATATTATCGAATAAAATCCAATGCATATTTTATTAAATAAATAAATTCCGAATCGAAAAATGGAATCCGGTTCCAAACTGTAACTGTACATAATTTATTGAAGAAACTAAACAAATAAACTAAAGCCAAATAATTAAATAAAAATAAACTAAATTAGTGTTATTTTTTTAGAATGTCAAACTTCAAATTATTTGTATTATTTCTGTGTTTCAAACTTCAAATTATTTGTATTATTTCTATGTGTTTTAAACTTTAAATTATTTGTATTATTTCTATGTGTTGTATATTGCTTTCTATAACCGTTATTTAATTGAAAATTTATCGTATTAATTTTTGCCCCTTGGAGGTGCTCTAATTTATCGCTTGTTCGTAATAGCATTTTAATTAGAGAGCACCTGAACGTGGTTTGTATCATACCATCATCGTCATTAATTTTATAGAAACCCAGCCAATTAATGACTCCGGTATTTAAATGCGGCGAAATTGTTTGAATAAATGTATTATATTCAAACAATGGTGGTAGTGGGGGGGTCGGAAATTTAATGTTGAAGGGGATTAAGTGCGATTGTTCTTCGGGGTTTAAAAACGAGTGGAGGGTCGTGATGACACTCGGGTCACCCGTGTAGGCCTTGAAGATTTTTCAAAATTACGATGATGCATTCGGTTGGTAAAGACATTGTTTGTAAAAAAATGATTTTTTCGAATAGTTTTAGTGAAAAATTTTTTTGATAACGGAAAATTAGCTGCAAAGAAGATAGATACTGTAACGGTTGGTTGGGAGAGCGACACACAATGAATGCCGTTTATTATAATTAATGCTTCACTTTTATACATTTCGATTAATATGAAAGAGAACACATTCTGGAACCTACTTTATGACATCAGAGGCACCACGCTATCGTGTTAGCCACATGTCAATATGCACACTGCCTCCTTCGAGGGATTTAACAATCACGATACTAATTTAGTTAGATAATCAATTACACCAAAAAGGGTTGTAAATCATTACGGCGCATTTACGAAACTTGAGCATTAGCCCAACATATAAAGTGCGTCATTCAACAATACAGCAATAGAGACAATTTTCCGTAATATAAATTATTTATTTACCCGTAATATAAATTATTTATTTACTTTAATAAAAAACACTAACTTTTTATTGCATCCACTAAAACCTCCGATATTACTGTATTACGAATGGAATGATCGTCGGCTCTATTCCCAAAATACCAGGAACGCAGTCATGAAATAGACGGAGTGTATGGTTACCTGCCATCTAAAATGGCATTCGCAAAATCTTGCATTTGATTGGACGTTATAAAACCTATGATTTCACATGTCAAAAATTGCTGTGCTGGTGTAACATGCTATCCTTTTTGATGTGCTTTATGGTTAACTTTATCTATATCTGTATTTTTATGTGTCACCTGCTAATTCTTCCATCGACGATCTTCCAAGCCTTCTATGATCTTGCATCCAAATCGATCAACAATATGTATGATGTGAATAAGGATGTACATGACATATAAGCGAAAACATTCGATTTGACTTTTTTTTTTTTTTTTAACCAATGAAAAGTTCCGATTAGTTTATTCTACATAGTCACTCGCCGATTTTCAATTGACGAACTTCCACCAGTACAAAAAAACAAACAGTTGGTGGCTGTAAGCGGTAAATCTGTAAATAGAGATAGGAATCGATTTAGTCGACTAAAAATTTTATACATATAAATTACTATGTTTAGTCGATTTAGTCGACTAAATCATATAGCCGATTCCTATCCCTATCTGTAAAGCCGTAATGCTTGTATATGCTTGTATGGGAAATAACAACATATCCATCAGTTTCCAGTTTGGAGTAACTGAGTGTCGCGCGCGTAGTGGTTAACTGCCATCTAGAATGCCGTGTTCGCAAAATCTTGCATTTGATTGGATAGCATGATCATAATGATCATATTCAAAAGCGGATGACCCATGAGGAAATAAATTAACTAATAAAAAACCACCAACCCAAGCAGGTTATAATAATTTTAATGCCGTACGTATACTAAATCAAGTAAAAATCAGATTTAGGGCATTTTGAAAAATTCATGACTTATACTAAAATGGTAATGATGGGATTAGTGGCTTAATCACATGACTGTTACTCAAGGTGTTTGAGGATGCATTTGAACCTGTTGCTGTGGCACTTGCATAATCACAGAAAATAACTAAGAAATGGGTGTGTAAACATCCCCGTGGGGTGTAAGCGTCCCAGTGGTAGTGTAATCACCGTAGTCGTGTAAACTTTTAGTTCTATTTTAGAATTAATAAAGAATACCATTCCATCCTTAAATAATTGCTTCGTTTTCACTTGAATAAAGTATATACTTATCTGAGTCTTCCTTTGCGCGTTGTCTTTGAATTCAACTTGTAACTTTAATAAACCCTTTCGAGACTCAATTCGACGGACTGAATTGACTTGAAACTTTGATTTGGCTTATTAAGACTCGGATTTTGGAACTATTGTGGAATCAGATATTGCCATTCACCTTAGTGACTTGCGAGAATTGTGGTAAAGAACGAGACTCACGATTGGTTATTCGACCCTGTTAATCACCCACGTGGACTTAAAGTTATCACCATTACCATTTGATCATCATCCGCTTTTACCTCATCATCCTTATTGAAATGTCCCTAACAGCATCATCTGTAATTGTTTCGCCTCATTGTCATCCCTCTTAATATTAAAGCCTTCGTTTCAGTGTCATATTGTCTCAATAGACCTTCGACAGTTAAAAGGACACCCTTCGTTTTTTAAGTTTATCTTTATCTCACGTACACCGTTGGAGTTAAATTAGCCCTTTATCCACAAAATATTATTAAGCTCTCCCATCAACGGTTACAGTATGCGCATTTTCGGGTAATGGATTTTTGATTTTAAATTTTTTTTTTTTTTTAGCCTTGTTACTAACTTCTTTTTTTTCTTTGGAGTTTTTAAGCCTTGCCGAACGAATCAGCACTGGGAAACATGTGTGCGGCGTTTTTAGGTAAGGTATTAATTTTCTTTGTTTTTTTTTTTTTTTCGTCTTGTTAGTTTTGTTACTAACTTTCTTTTTTTTCTTTGGGCTTTTAGGCTTCACCGGACTTGAATTCTTGCGCTGTGTGGGGGTTGGTTTCTTGTGTCGTGTGGTGTTGGATTCTTGCGTTATATGGGAGATAGATTCTTGTGCCGTATGGTATTGAAAGCACAGATATGAGACTCCCGAATCGATAGATTTGTGCATGGCTAACTTTAATTATTTTTGCTTCAACAAAAAACCTCAGTTCATTATATATATTTGCTACGCTTAAATTCCACGTTCCTTGTTCTAGCGCGACTGCGTCGCGCAGCTACCCCTAATGGAATATCCTTCGTTTTTCAACTTAACGAAGAATTAAGACAGCTTTACTCGAATATTATTGGGTAGATATGATAAAAACGAACAAAAACACAAACAAAATTCATGGACTATAAACTATGAACGAATTGGGCTCTCTTTTCAAGTTATTAACAACGCGAATTCAAAAATATTTTTATTTGCAATTTACCTGTATACAATAAAATCTTATTAAAATTTTTTAAATGTATCTAAATCTACTAATATTATTTCATTTAACTATTATATATTGTTTCTTTTAAGAAATAATACTATAACAACCTCACCCGGGTGGCGAAGCCGCCCACATCTGCATCCTCTAGTTTTTTATATTGCAGCCTTTCTTGTGATGGGGTTTCAAATTTTTTTTACGAGCTTTGAATGAATCGTCATACGTAGAATAAAAATCAGTGATCTTTATAAAAGAATGTTTCATTTTTTTTTTTTTAGTATCGGTATGTTTAAAGGAAAGATATTTGAATTATTAATTAATTTGGCATCATTATATAAAAGTTTAATTACATACGAAAATTATTAATTAATTTGACATCATTTCTGTTATATAAAAGTTTAATTACGTACGAGCTAACGACGTATTTTATCATGTGATAGGTCAGGGTATTAATTAATAATATCTTGGGTCACTAATATCCAATGACCCAAGTTATTATTATTACAAGTTTACTGAAGAAATAATTTTGCATATTTTTTACTATTAAAAATTACTATAAATAAAAATCATTTAATAATTGTCGCAGATTATAATGAAATCGGATTAAAATGAATGAAAGGGTTTCTATTTCCCCAAAACTACTTACCCTAAACCTTAATCCTAACTCTAAAAAAAATGCTAAAAAAATGCACCCCAAAAGTTTGTATTTTTCGGTGGCTTGTCTATTTTGCACTATCTCATTTGATTTTATTTATCCGCCACATTTGTTATGTAGCCTATTGTAATAATCCAACACAAGAATGCGTGAGTGTTGCAGATGAAATATTTTAACTGGACTTAATGATTTATTCTGATCAGTTACAGGTTTTTACCCTTTATTATTCACTTGAGGTAAACCATATACTTTAGTTCATGAATATGAATAAATAAATTAATATAAACTTCATAAAATCGGATTATATCTTAATAAATAAACTAGTCATAAAACCCACGAATCTTAAGCTTTGTTAGAAATTTTTGGTATATAAATTTCATCTAAAACAATCTTTTGATTTGTTTATTTTTGAGAAAAATATCACTAAAAATTTTATCTAATTGAGTTTCATCAAAATCAACATCATGCTTATATATGTAAAGTGAAATATAGATATCTTTAAGATTATCGTGTGATTCATTCGCAAAAAGTTCTAATGCTTTATTTGGATTGATTGTTTTGAATAAATTGATTTTGAGATTCTCCAATTTATTACAGAATTGGTAAATTAAAGAGAGTTGTTCTACCGTATAAAGAGGAATATTTAAGCATTTAAGATTAATCGTGCATTGAGTAATTGCTTGAATGAGTTGAGATATATCGAGAACTTCTTTAGTACTCCAATAAAAGTCGATAATTTCAAGGGTATTGCATCTCGTTCTAACAAGACTAGATAAAAATTTTAAAGGAGTTGAATAATCATAATCCTTACAGCCACCAAATCTGTAAGTTAAAGATGTCAGATTTGGAAAAGCGGTGCTAATAGGATCATATTTAGGAAAGTTCAATCCTTCGCATTGTTTAAACGTCAATTTTGTAACATTAACGCATTGAACAATGGCATCGATAGCATTTGTGCTTAATTGGCAACTTGAGCGATTGAAGAATGGAGGTGTATTGAAATATCCATTTCCATTAGTCATATGTTTAAATGATAAATAGTCAAGAGATTTTGTATGACTTGTTAGTGCTTGAACAACGATTGATGCGAAAAAATTACTGTTTAATAAAGAAAACTTAATTAATTGTTTTTGAGCACGAATGAGATTTGCCAATGCGATTCCTTCATCTAAATGTAGAACTTGAACCTTAAGATTTTTAATATCATGACAATTTAAGGCTAATGCATTAAAGAGATCGACCTTTATTAGTCGACCACTGAAACCCACAAGTAAAATGAGTTAAACTATTGCCAAACATTGGAGAGAGTTCAGGATTACTAGGAAGTGCTAACCAATCTACATTTAGAATTTCCTGGTTAGCCAGAGTACTACAGATTTCAAACCTTCGTAAAGTTGCACCATGGGAAGCAAACATCTTAAGTAACCTGATTACAATATTTTGATCTATGTAACTAAGAAGATTATTATTACCAATAGCATTGCAGAAGCGATCAAATGGGAGTTCTTTGAGGTATGAAGGATAGTCAAAAGGAATCCTGTATGGAGAAAGCTTAATTCCTTGTTCATTATCAGATAAAAATTCCATATAGACTTTAATAACTTTAGGAGATGGAACGAAACTGTGATCATTTCGAAAAGGAGTTTCCCATAAGATTGGTACAGCAATAGCAGCCCAAGACTTATTAACCAAAATGCAAGAGTACAGATCTTTATTGCTTGTAAGTAGCCTAAAAATAAGATGGAGGCAATCATCGACGAGAGTTTGAGAATTTTTGTTTGTGATATTAGTTTTGATTAACGAACTTTCAATTTTTTGACTCATCTTTGAAGATTAAAATATGAAGGTAGTGATAGATAATACAGTATTTGTGAAAGAATTCTCTCATATTTTATTTAATCGGACTTACTTTTTAGTAAGACGAAATGGATAGTGTAACCAAAAAAAGGATATATCGATATCAATCAGAGGTCATGTACGTACGTACGTAGCTAATTACATTATTAATCATACGTATCAATATATCACATTAAAGAAAAAAAAACAAATAAAATTTTTTTGTAACCGTGATAAACTTTCCGAGGATACTGTACGTACGTACGTACGTACATTGCAAATTTATTGAAGAAAAATGTATTTTTTTAAAGAAGCAATCCAAAAGAGTCGTTCTAATTGTTGTTTTCAAAATAAAAAACATAATAATTATAAAATAAAATTAATAAAATAATAAACAAAAATCAAAGCTTTATCATGAAATTTATTTAGTTGGGTAGAGTTTTGGAACCTGTTTTAAAGGTGATATCATATCGTTTCAAGATATTTTATATAACGACTTATTATTATTCAATTTAGCGACTATGATCAAAGACTTATCGATTTAAAGATTAATTATAGTGTGAGAGTAATCGACATCAGTAAGATGAAATTTCTTCGATGAAAAATTACCCTATTGACTAGTAATTTGCCTTCTATGTTCATATTTTTTGCTAACAGAAGCGTTCAATCATTTTAATACTGACAATCCTTAGGATAAATAGGATTTTTGCGATAGTATGGTATAATTTTCATACATAATATTAAATAGATATATATTTTTAACAATTTTTCACATGAAGACCATCGGTAACAAAATAAAACGTTCAATATCATTCCCCTTACAGTACATGTCACAACATTATTGCACGATCAATTGTGTTATGTAAAGATCTTGGTCACAATGAAATTTATGAGGATTTTAATGATTTCGCTATATAAGATGCGCCTCTAATTCTTCTCCCATTAAAACCGCTTGAAATTACGGTAATCTAGGATTTCATTTAAATTATAGTATTCTAATTACCGGTCTTCAGTTGTTTGAACATCGATTGGATGGCATTGGAAAATCTTAGTGGACACATTTACAGAAATCAAACAAGAATCACAGGATTGTTTCATACTTAAATGTTTATTGGAAGCATTAAATATTAAATTTAAAAACTTTACAATTACCAAAACGACTGTACTAAATTATGAAATATTCTAAACATTACCCATCTAAGTTTATATAAATTCATTGAATATTGTCTTCCATTTTGAGTAATTTTAAAAATAAATAAATATCGTGTAAAATTATAATGGAAACAAATACAAAAATCATGCAAACCTACTTAATGCTAAATTTCAAATTAAGCTTGAGATAAAAGGCTTTTCAGTTTTAAATATAATAAGTTTTATTAGAATATTTGATGTGGCTAGATCATTACTGCATTAGCATTATAGTGTATAATTAATTTATACCAGGAACGTATGTTCTGTGTCATTTTTCAATACATTGATTATTAATTGATTTGTCATTTATAAATTTTATGCTGCTTTGCAATCAATTTGTAATAAATTTTTTAGCAAATATATCCATAAAGATGATTCAAATCTATTTATTGCTCTCTTTTTTTAAAAAAAGGAAAGAACTACTTAACTGATTTAATATACTTTATATAATAAAAAGAATTCCATTGCGAATTTTAACGATTTCAGGTTCTTCAGATGTGATAATTGATATACATGTATATTTAGTATTTAACTCTAATTTTTTATCCCTCTATAACCTGGCTTGACCCACCCTTGCTATTTATAGTCGTGTAACGTATCATCTTTGCATCCGATGTAATTATCTTTTTCTAATTTAAGAATGTTGTGTCGTATGTACGTTGTGACAGTGAAAAATTGTACAACAACAAAAACTAAGCTAACAAGGGTCGCTATTACACAAAAACCTAATACAAACTCTACTAATTCCAATATAATTCTTCTTCTACACCCTAGGGTGTTTCACGATACTTCGGTGATCACGGGGACAATACAATACGAAATACGATAACAACGTTACAACAAAAGAAGACTCAAGGGGATACTATCACTATTCATTCATGTTGAATTCCAAAGATGTGTTATCCTTTATTTACATCGAAATGATTGTGATTAAATACTTTTTTACATTGTACTGTTTTACTACGAACTTTTCTGCCGTTACGACCATATCCACTATTTCAACTATCTGGCAGATCTGCTATATCTGGGTTATAGCAGTTTTGGCAGATTCCAATCAATTTGGCTAGATCGACCGAACCACTCCGATTTCGACCTTAAGAAATTTCCCTCTCGCAATCATAGGCAGAAATTCGTCTGATTGGCTAATGCAAATCAATTGCCCGGGTAACTTATTTATATGTTTTAGAGTACTT